TGCACAATACTCGTGCACAATACTCGTGCACAATACTCGTGCACAATACTCGTGTACAATACTCGTGTATACTACTCGTGTACAATACTCGTGTATAATACTCGTGTACAATACTCGTGTATACTTGCCCAAGAGGCAGAGACGTGGGCTGAAGGAACTTGCCCCATTGGTTTGACCCCAACCCTGACCCCTGCTGTATACTTGGAATTTGCGGTGTCTCTCCGTAGTCGCATGGAATTGTCTCGGGGTATTCCCCTCCACATATATTTGGCTGCTATACATTTCCACACGATAAGCCACTTCGTTGCGGCTATGATTTGAGGCAGTCAGGTCGCTTCTGAAAAAGAGCTACATTTTTTTAGTTTTAAAGCTTTCGTGACCGCAGGGATTCATATTCTTGGTTCTTTCGGTAAAGTCACGTAGAAAGGAAACAATAAAATAATAAAAATATAAAACAATAAAATTCTCACGACGTTTCGATCGCAACACAAGCAATCATCATCAGGTGTGAAACCCACAGCAATAAAAAACATTTTTTAGATGAAGTCACACCACAGCTCCATGAGACTTTAAAAAATATATATTGCTGTGGTTTTCACACCTGATGATGATGATTGCTTGTATTGCAATCGAAACGTCGTGAGAATTTTATTTGTATTATTTTATTATTTCCCTTCTAGGTGACTTTACCGAAAGGACCAATAATAGAGCTACACATGTCAGTAAACCTTAACTGGGAAAATAAAAATACCAATTTTCGTTTTTAGTTCGTATAAAGTTCCCGTGCACGGTGCTGCTTGGGCGAATTGTTCCATCGCAAGACGGCTTGTGGAAGGCCTTCATCAAAGCAGTAGTTTGACTATTGGCCGATGATGCTTACCGCAATCTTCCGAGCAGCTTGAGATGAAATCACCCCACGGCTCCATGCCGTCACGCATACCCGGGGCAGCATCTCGAGGCACGCGCATGGTGTGCGATGTCATCACTTTGGCCGAAAAAGATTTTCTTATTTAGCAGTGGATGCTTGTGTTTTTTTTGGAAGGTTTTGCACAAACCTGCGATCCGTTTTTTTTCTGTTTTTTTTGTAGGGTTCTTCCCCAATAACAAAAACGCATTTATAGAAACGTTTATATAATTTCGGATCAATTTTACGAGAGTTTTCACCGCCCTTTCACAAACGGACAGAGATAGTGTGCAAAACATACATTTGAAAAAACGATTGATTTTCTTCCCATAAATGACGTCACGGACCTAGGGAGGGGGGGGGGGTCAGACATTTGTGACGATGTGTGACGAGTGGGGGGGGGGGGGGGTTTGAGAAATGTGACGTCACATCAAAATACGCAACTTTAAATAAATATAGACAACACATTCTACTTAATTAAATAGACTTTTTTATAAATGTTCTCTCCTACAACATCAGAGTGCAGTGCCACATTAAATACGCACTACAATGACAATAGTTAAAGCGATTTGAAGCATACTCTTTGGTTGTATTCGGTAAAGTCACGTAGGTAAAAAATAAAACAACAAAAATCACGACGTTTCAGCCACAACACAAGCGGCCTTCATCAGGTGAAGGGACCAGCCTGTCTCGAAGACTGCGCTGGAGTGAAACACAGCCAAGCTCAGACTACGACCTTTAAGCTGTGTGAGAGGGATTAAGGTGCCTCGACAAAGGAATTAGCATAGAAAAATTAGCATTTGATTGGCGGACTTAGCATGATGAAAGGTGTAGCACGCGGCAGTGCACCTTTAAGCTGTGCTTCACTCCAGCGCAGTCTTCGAGACAGGCTGGTCCCTTCACCTGATGAAGGCCGCTTGTGTTGTGGCCGAAACGTCGTGATTTTTGTTTTATTTTTTTACCTACGTGACTTTACCGAATAGAACCGAAGAGTATGGATCATTGCAGTCACGAAAGCTTCAAATCTAGAATCGATTTGAAGCATGTTTTTTTTTTGGGGGGGGGGCAGAGCTTTCTGACGTCATATTTGAGGGTGGTCTGTTTTTTTGTGACGCCGTGTAACGAGGAGGGGGGGTCAAAAATCGTCAAAAATCGTGACGTCATTTATGGACGGCCCCTAAGATAAAAAAAAACATGTCTCCTTCCGATAAATGCAATTAGTTTGCAGTACTGATGTGCAACAGGCAGATGGCTCAGCTGTAGGTAGCGGTTTTCACTCAGCCCATCATCAATAATTATTCATCCATCCAGGGCTGATAAAATTTGTACCACTTTGTGGAGAAATCAACAATGGTCTTCCTATGGATAAACTCTTCCCTGCCCATAGGTTTTGGCCAATTACAACACTTAGGGCTGTAAACGTATGAGCGCCATCTCAGATGCTCATTAGTGCAGAAAATAACGTCGACTTTTGCTTCATATGCACAACAAAATTAAATAAAATTATTTGTTTAGCACGACCAATTCAACATATATAGTTATGGCAATTATATATTTAATATGATTGATAAATGGTTGTGTTTAATAAAATAACTGAAATGGATAACATACATTTATTCACTTGATGTGCATGTTTTTTTTTTACTCGAGTTTGACATTGTGTTTCCAGTTAGAAGTTCGAGATATTACATACTCCAAAGGCAAGTAATCATTTACCCCTGTCACGAATCGATGACTTAAGATTGCAAGTGGCTCTACGTGCTATGAAGGGCCGTTGCCCGAAATTTGGCCTTTTTTAGTTTTCTTTTGACGGACGTTTTTAATTTATTTGGACATACGCACCACTGCCAACGCAGCATCGCAAACAATTGTCAAGAAATATTGCAAATGTATTCAATACCCTTTTGCTTCTAAATGTATAAATGCTCTTACTTTCTGCATGCATAAGTCTGTACCCTTGTGAGTGTAAGAACTGATTTTAATGGATGAATTGTTACATAGTAATTACTCCAGATGGATATGAATTTGCAAAAATGCTAATTTTAATGGATGAATGGCAATTACTCCACTTATATGAATATTTATCCTTCACTGCATCCTAAATGCACTTATATATGTTATTAGTTCAAGTGTCTTAAGTAAAATTATTTTGTATATTAATGTGTGCTATAGTTCATAAACCCTTTACTCTGCAATCATTTGATAAATACAGCCAATCAAAGCAGTTATTTTCAGTTTCCAATTATAACAGAAATGACTCTACTCGTGGTGCTGACGTTGAGGGTAAGAATCCACCCATTTTTTCGCCAGATAGCATTGTGATATATAACGACTTATTGTTGGTATCTCAGCTGATTGGAGAACATATAGAGTTTATTGATAACATTGAGGTAGTTTATATTTTAGTTTTATTTGTTTACTATATGGTATTCATTACATAGTGTAGTGTATACCCAGTTGATGTTAATAGCGCAGCTTATTGAATAATATATTGAGTACATTCATTATATTGATGCAATTTAGACTTAAGTTTTTTCACATAGGTTTACTGTATGATAGTTGAGTTGTTGCAGCCCCTTTGGCGTCCATGTACTAAGTGCCTCTGTGGATGTGTAGGCTTTGACTTTAACATCTATTTCTGTGACCAGTCACAAGCTAATCCAATGCTAAATTCTCCTGTTTGATATGTAAACCCCTTTGTCAAGGTGCCTCACTTCTCTCAACCAGCTTAAAAGACGCTACGAATCTTAGCAGCGTCCATTGAAGCTCTGTCGTCCCGACATTTTTGTTCCTTCACCTGAAGAAGGCTACTTGTGTGGTGGCCGAAACGTCGTGAGAATTTTAGTCTTATTTTATTTTATTATTTTATTCTCATTCTACGTGACTTTACCGAAAGAACCAAAGAAGATCTACTTATACAATGAATGATTCTCATTCACGTGATGCACATTTGTGCCTTTAAACCACAGCATCATTCACGAGATTTACAATGTGTAGTGTTCTACACGGAGGCACATACTTGACTTGGAGGCAACACGTTTATTTCAACACCCCAATAGGGTAACTACATAAACGTACGGGATAACGACATAGGTGATAGTCACTTTGAGTATTAACTAAGCCACAACGGGGCAACTACATAACCGAGTCAGTCACTAACATTCTGACTGACCCACGATGCCGAGCGAAGACTAAAGATCGGAGAGACGTAGCACCGAGGGTTGATTCCAGAACAGCCGCGATCGGGGCTCGGGACTCGGCCTTTAACGGCCACAGCGTGGCCGGGCTCCGCCCTTGGCCACACCCCCTTCCAGATCCTTCCCGAAGGCTCTGGCCCCTACATCACATGTCCCTCTCTCCCCCTTTTGGGCCCCCCTTGCCACCTCGTCCAGTCACGTGCCCTCTCGGGGTCACCCAGACTGTCATGTCCTCACTCGACTTCTCTCTCACTGTTACCAGGATTATGCCCCCTAGGGCCCACTTCCATGGCATACCCACTCTGGTGCCAGAGAGAGATCCAAGACACACAGCTCCACTCTTGTGACAGTAGCTGGCGCTAAACGCTATAGTGACCCCATTTATGTCACTACAAATTAATGGGCATTAAAACACTAAATTTTTACAAACTAAACATTACTAAAGACCTTGAAATGTATTTACAGGTCCCTATATATTGAATGATATTTTTTTCGTTCGTAAATGGTCTAAATGGACAATTTCTAATGGAAGTCATTTTCTCATTTTCAAACTAGGTCTAGGTGAGTTAATGTGTAGTACCGCAATTACCCTACTCACTTCTGCCACTGCTGGCAGACGGGCCTCCCACTATAATGTCCTAATCTACCACATTGGGATATATGTACAGTATGTATGAACTTATTTTGCATCATATTTAAGAAATCGTGCTAATCGAAGGTGCGGGAAATAAAGGTATTGGAATAGGTGGGAATACCCACACTCTACCCCACCACACACAACCTGCCAATCGACTAAATGGAGTGAAATACCGTAAAAGCAGTTTGCAAGGTAAAGGAATATACAAGTAAAAGACACGTGGGTACAGTGTCTGCCGCAATAAATAACAACACATTGAATATGTCATGCGCATTCAATATTTTATTCAACAAAATTGAGATTTTGATATACATTACATTATTTTACAAAATTTTAACTGAAAGTGCTCATGACTAAAAATATAAATTATTCATCTCCACATTCATGTGTTGTCACAACATTTGTCTGTTGCTTAATACTTTAACTGATTTAAGTCATGCATTAGCATCACGATGATATTTAAAAATTAGTGCAAAGTTGAACATTTATCGTACCATTTAGTATTTACTGCAATCAGTACGTCATACTTTTTACATTAACCATCACATTCTAAAATAAAACTCAAGCAGTAGTTATTTACCTTTAATATGTATCTGTCATCTACTGCATGAACATAATTTATACTCTAACGATTTTCAAGAATTACGGGGCTTATATCTGTAAACATGAATTATTTTCAGCGAGGAGCCAATATTTCCTGATACCAACGGTGGACATATCTATGAATGATACATTCTTAAAGCCACTGATCGACAACTTCATTAAAACTAAGGTGTGGAACCTAATACAATGGTACTTATCTCGAAAGGTTCCTGTATTGGTGCTAGTGCAACCATGCAATTAAACTGTTTAATGCGATACAAAGAAAGGTAGAACGGAGCTGGCAATCCCAAAAGAGCATAAGGCATGTTTAACAGCTTGCATATAAGTCATACAATCGGCATGCTAAACGGGATTACTTATTTTGATTGTATAAGTAGTTTTTACATTCATCAGTTTTCCAAAACTACAATTTCATCATTCCTGGACGAATCATTGATTGTGAAAATATTAAGCAACCTTTGCTAAGCAGTTTTTCTGAAAAGTGGAAAAAAAAAAACAAATTTGAGTCAACATAAATATTATCGCCATTTTCTAAATAAGAAACAAACGCGTGTCCTTAAGCCGTCGAATGTTTTTTTATGCAGTGTCTTAAACGTCTTCATTAATCAAGCAATCACATGCTTGTATGGCAATTACTTACCTACGCCTTTTGAGAATGATACGGACAATCCACTGGGCGAAGAATGGCCACGCCAGAAGAAATAGCAGCATTAGGCGTGACAGACCGGGGCGTTTTCCTGCAGCACGCTGTCAGAACAACATGTGCTCACTATTTGCAACAAGGACCGACCCTCGAAATCTGCTGTAAGCGACTTTGTTTACACTCACCAATCTTACCGGCACATGTCCTTCAACCCTCGTTGGAGATAGAGCCGACATAGCCTGGAAAAAAAATCAAATTTTCAACTTTTACAGTTAAATACACAATACACGATGCCTGTGACAAAATCACGTGAATTGCTACTGATCTTGTCAGATCGCAGATACTAAGCAGGGTTTGCCTTAGATGGGCGACCACCATGCACAAAACAGGTGTTGTAGGCTGCTGCAGGGCTATGTCAGGGTGGTGCAGCAGCCTCTCCCCACTTTCACCAAACTGCACTGACAAGTATGGTGAAGTACGGTTAAATAACCTGCAGTGCAAGGAGGCCGTCATCCATCAGTGGATTGTAAACAAGTGTGGTCAGTGCACAGCAACCACTAACATACTTTCCAAAGATAAAATTCATCATTTGGATAAAGCATTGGTGTAAAATCAAGCCATAGATTTAAACAAAGTTGACATTAAGCAAAGATTAGCGGAACTTAGGTCAACAAATGCAGATTTGATTCTTGTGGGCTGCTGAAAATGTTCGGGTTAAAATTAACATTTTGGTAGCATTCAGTTCTCAAAAAACAGGTTTATGTCACCCTAGCCAAATTTGTCATGCTGACCTGAGAGGAGACAAGTGCCTCCAAACTTCCAAGCTGGTGCAGAACCCTCTCCATGTCCTCCTGCAGCCGCTGGAGGGTGATAGTGATTTGTTTGCTGGTATTGAACGTCCGTTGTCTCGACTGGTCAAATCCATTGTTGCTGCCGCTAGTGCCAGCTCTGGGCTCCTCCATGCTTCCATCGACCAGCATGGCGAGTCCTTGGCCTGGTGATGGATTTGGGTTGGTGGTAAAGCATAACTCTGCTCGCATTTTTTTAATGCCACATACAGCCGACTACCTTAATGAGTAGGATTCATGTGTTTTTCTACTATGCGCCACACCACATGCAATAATATATCAGTAATAACATATCATAGATTCTGGAAAAGGCATATGAATACCAAACATAATTGTCTAGCTTTTTTGTCCTTTGCAAAGGCATTTGATTCAGTGGAAATGTATGCAGACATTCAAACTCTAACAAAGCAAAGCATATTGCTCCAACATGTCATTATCAATGCCAAATATGTCATATTTGGGATTTATAACCCAACCGATAATAGGTACTGCATATTCTCAGATTAACATAATCCATTGTATTTTTTTATTACATTAACTCCCTTCTGGTCTTCACACCTGACAGGCTTACAGTGATGACATTACTTTGACTCCATTTAAGATCGAAACAGGAAGACATTTTCACAATTCTGGAAAATTTCCTGAAGCTGTTTGTAATAACCAGCAAAACGTCCTCAAATTGTAAATGTTGTGGGTTTAGTCTGTGCTGAAGTAGTAACTAATTGGCACGTTTTGTTCACGTGACAAATCCCTTACTAATTGTCTGTCGGGTGGCGATGGGTTAACGACACTTTTATATTTACAACATAGAACCCCATTTTTTATGCAAATATTTAATATTTACAATAGTTTCATAACTCATATTGTTGCTTAAATCAATATTTCTATTGGACCTTTTTGCTAGTATCAAACTATGAAAAATAAGAATAGGTTTTACCCTTTCTGGCAAAATAGGCGTTAATTTTTTAAAACACAAAATATATACCTTTTGCAAGGAATCAAGTCTGCATTAACCACACTTACTTGTAGCAAAACATGCAAACAAATCATGTTAAATCACCTTTTTCTGCTTGATTCTCGAATTTTTCAGTGTCTTCATTTAGGCTTTCCTTACCATGAAGTTGAATAGTACATTGTGAGGTACAAATTGTCCCTTCACTGTAATGGATAGCATTCTTTTCTTGTGACATTCCTTCTCCACTATGGATCATTTTATTTTTTATTTCAAAATGAGATGGCCTAAACGAGCCATTGAGAAGCATCTGCTGGCCACGAATTGTCTTGAATTTAGTTTCGTCAGTGATAGGGCAGTTAAGTTGGGCCCTGCTATGTTCCATCCCCTTTGTGGCTTCTTCAACATTGAGGTGTTCCATGGAGTCACAGTAATGGTCGCTGTCCGAATCGCCTGTTAAATGTGGCAAAATTACACCTCCATTTATTGCAGACCGTTTTAGTCTGCCACTCAGAGAGATTGTGATTTCATCCGATGCACTGCCTTCTTCTCCTTCAACGTGTCTCAGCATAAGCAAAGGCTCCCGTTCCACTGTAAAGGAGTTTATCTTGCTTTCATCTGGGTTGCTGCCTTTGGCTGCTGTATCTGCCACAAAGTTGACACCTTGGAGTTGGGTGCATCCAGAGGTTGGAAGATTGAGCAAACTCCTCTCAGGGGAAAAGGACTTCTCATGCTGTAAATGTTCATCCTGGTGCAAACAGTTGATCTTTGGTTTATTGGTTTCATCTTTTTGGAGGGATTTTAAAGCAGTGCCCGTCGTAGCAGTTAAGGAGAATCCATTATGTTCACCTGAAACAGGCTCGTCAGCTGCATGTTCGTTCATTCGCTTTTTTTCTGAGAAAAATAAACACGTAAAAAACAATTTCAGAATACTTTTAAGACTTGTATTGTACGTTTAAAATACCAGTTAAAGCATATGCAAATGTGAAAACGTCGCAATGAAAGAGTGCCATTTATTGCAGTCAACAAATGTTTACTGTTTCTTTCATCATCAAGATAATCTTCAGTGTCATATTTTCCATTTAAATTTATGTCATGACATTTTGAATCAAGGCTCTGCTGTGGGTCTTTGCCATTCTGCATGGGAGAAGACTTATGCCAGTCATTTGGTTCTGCAATACAGGCACACGCACACCGATATTTTCCACAACTCGCCCTGTTTTGAGGTTTCATACAGGTCTCATGTAATTCTGTCCGTATTTCAAATGGACATTTATTATATGTGCAGGTTAGACAAATGGATACATTCTTCTTTGGTTCTTTCGGTAAAGTCACGTAGAAATAGAAAATAATAAATTACATAATATCATACGACGTTTCGATTGCAAAGCAAGCAATCATCATCAGGTACAAATGAAAGAGAAACAAACCTAATGAACTTAGAAATATAATGCAACACAGCACAGAAAGTCGGCTGACACGGCAGTCAACACCCTACCTGGTTGATTACGTCCAAGAGACACAGAACCGGAGACACATACACAGACACACAAGCGGAAAGAGTTAACACAGAGACACAGAGAGAGAGACACACGCATGGGCACACAGAGAAACAACGTCTCTGTGTCGAGGCCTTAAATAGCTAGAGAGGGGATACAGAGAGTGCGGGGGGGGGGTAGAAGAATTAGCATGTCAATGGGAGATCCCACAATGAGAGCTCCACCGCCAACGCTGAGGGGAGACAGAGACGGAGGCAACACTAAATCAAACTTAGTAAAATTTGGAAATGTAATGTAATGCGACACAGATTCGGTCAACACACAATCAACACATGGCCTGGTCGATTACGCCACTCCAAAGATTGCTCAATTAGAAGTTAAGTGTGAAATTTGGGAGAGAGACAAGGCACAGACATGGAGACACAAAGACAGACACACAAGCAGAGCGAGACAACGAGACACAGAGAGAGAGGAAAAAACAAACTTAAAACCTCCCCGTAGAGGTGAATTCAAACTTGATTTGACGCTTTCGTGACTTCAGGAATTATTCTTTGGTTCTTTCGGTAAAGTCACGTAGAAATAGAAAATAATAAATTACATAATATCATAGCTATTTAAGGCCTCGACACAGAGACGTTGCTTCTCTGTGTGCCCATGCGTGTGTGTCTCTCTCTCTGTGTTAACTCTTTCCGCTTGTGTGTCTGTGTATGTGTCTCCGGTTCTGTGTCTCTTGGACGTAATCAACCAGGTGGGGTGTTGACTGCTGTGTCAGCCGACTTTCTGCGCTGTGTTGCATTATATTTCTAAGTTCACTAGGTTTGTTTCTCTTTCATTAGTACCCGATGATGATTGCTTGCTTTGCAATCGAAACGTCGTATGATATTATGTAATTTATTATTTTCTATTTCTACGTGACTTTACCGAAAGAACCATAGAATAATTCCTGCAGTCACGAAAGCGTCAAATCAAGTTTGAAATGCATACTTAAAAATGCTTACCCAAGCTCAGGTATTTGGGGTAGTCCGATATGTTTGGTAGGTTCAAGTTTTGTTTTGTAGATATGTTCAGGCTATTGTCTACAATCTCGTAAAAAGGACCAAGCGCAAGAAGAAATTCTTCCACTCTGTCTGTAATGGGCAACATTTCCAATATCTGTAATGATAAAGTAAATAACCATTGTTAATATAAAACATTCACTTATTATGCTTTCATGTTTTCTGCAATTTATAAGAATATTACATTTTGAGGAGGTGGGGGGGCAGCGGTGCATTGGTTTTCGCACTGCGCTATGAACCTGGCGACCTGAATTTGATTCCCGGTCATGACTCACATCAGTGGCGAGTGATAGCTGAACCGGTCCTGACCTACTCACCTTCACCCGGTCTCACTGATCAGCTTGGTGAAGTATAGTCAAACAACACCCATAACCAACATGGCGTCAGGAAGCCTTCATCCAACAGTGTAATGAAAAAGGTCTGTAAATTAATACTTATCCCTTATTACATTTATTACCATATTATAGCTTGTGTTGACTTCTTTCTGTGCAAAACTACAAGACCGGTACCTTTCTGCTTACGTAGACATACATACCTGCTTTATTTCATTCACGTACTCAACCATGGCCTCTTCCTTTGACATCTGACTCAGTGCATTCCAGGCATCCCTGGAAGATTCATGCAAAAAAACCCACTGTACTCAGCTATATATGTTCAACATCATTATCGACAAATTAACAAAGCATTTTATTATAGACTGGTGCAATGGAAGTTGCACTTCAAAAGGGCCAAAGGGAAAATGAATATCAGGCCAAATTAGGTTAGTTAACATAAAAAAACTATATTAGCAGGTTGCTTAATGTAGGTTAACACAAAGCAACAGCTATACATTATACAGTTACTGGAAAAAACAAGTGCTCATTTTGATATCTCATTTATGAGACAATATTTTATATTTCAAAAAAATAGATGCAGCTCTCCAAAATAACCTCCACTGAAAAAAAGGAAACTAAAGTGACATGTAAAATAATGCAAGTATGTTTGCATGTCAATGCTAAGAATGTTGGTAAAAAAAATTCATTTTAAGCCACTTTGGAATGCATGTTAATTTCATTCCACATTTCAATTTAGAGTAGACATAAGACTGTTTTATAAATCGAATGCTGGATGAGGGCCTCCCCACACAGTAAAGCTCACAGAAGTTATTTCATGATACTTCATATTGCTGACTGACCAGTGTGGATTGGTGAAAGGAGCGTAGAGGTGAGGGCATATAAAAACAATGGATTTAGCTGAACTGCCATCTGCTGCCCACCACGTAGCCCCACATAATGACAACCTGTTTGTGCATGCTGGTCACCCATCCAAGCACTATCCAGGGTCATCCCTTCTCAGCTTCCAAAACAGGATCAGGAACATTCCAGTCAATTTGGCCATATACTCGATTTAATCGAGTTTACAGTACACAATAAAATTATACAATATGGAAGCAAACACGTCTTTTGAAGCCAAAATCATATTGATTTGTAACGCGTGAAAATATCTGTGTCAACATCATGCGTTCATTTGCATCCTCTACCACTTCTGGCGTCCAAGTGGGTCCCAGAAAGAAGGCCGTGAGATGTTGCATGGCCCCCGTGTGGCTTGCTTAAAGAATCCATACAGTCTCAGCATGACCTCATTGGACGGCTGGACTGAGCCTAAAACAGCACATGTGAAAAAAAAAAGGAAATTTTTATTTCCATGCTGAAGTTCGTGACGGTGTTATCTTTGAGCTGGGCTAATCCAATTATTTAAGTAACCATTTTATCGCTTTTCGAATTCACCTACACAACCTAATCGGGGAACACGAAAATATTTCACAAAAGAAAGTCTCACCTCTCCATGTTTGCCGCCGCTGAACGTGAGGCGGTGGCGGGACTTAACGATTTCATTGGCTGTATCAACTGCCGCACACTGGCTGTGGGAGGCAGGCTGCGGGGGATTCCGCTATTTTTAAAGAAGCCTGAATAATCAACCAGAAAAGCACTTGTATTTGTTTTTAGTTCATGACATTGTCTGATATCATGGGACCTCCTTTGCCAGTACCAAAATATGAGAATAGGTTTTCCCCTTTTTTCTGGCAACAAAAAACCAAAGAGTAGGTGTTAAGATGTTAAAACACCAAACTGAAACCTTTTACAAGGAATCATGTCTGCATTAACCACAATACTTGTGGTCAAAATGCAAACAAAAAACACTGATAATATATGCATTGTCTTTGAAGCCTTTGAAGCCTAGTCCCAAATGGTGTTAGACCAGAGGATGCGTCCTCTGGTCTAACACCATTTGAGACTAGGCTCGAAAGAAATCTGTCTCTGGTGAGGACCAATCAGTTTCAAAGACAATGCATACATTATCAGAGTATGTTTTTGTTTGCATTCTGACCACAAGTATTGTGGTTAATGCAGACATGATTCCTTGTAAAAAGTTTCAGTTTGGTGTTTAAACATCTTAACACCTGTTTTGTTGCCAGAAAAAAGGGGAAAACCTATTCTCAGACATTGGCTGTCATTCTTAGTTTCCAGAAATTGAATGCCAAATACAGTGGTACCACGGAGATCGAAATTAATTCGTTCCAGAAGGCCATTCAAACACCGATTTGTTCGAACACCGAATTAATTTTCCCTATAAGAATTAATGTAAATGACATTAATTGGTTCCAGACACAAGAAATATCTCATTATAAAGCATTTTTACACGAAGTTTACAGTAATTACATGCATAAAATAATACAAAAAAACAAGAAACACAAGAAATAAATGGAATAAATGAATAAATATATGGAATAAATGAAATAAATGAACATTGAACTTCACTTTACCTGTAGTAAGGAGAGTTGATGGCTTGAGTGGAAGGTGGCGAGGTGGTGGTGTTATTGTTTGGAAGGGGCGTCCCCTTCCATAATAACGTCGGGTAACTGCCCTTCTGGGGTTCTTTCTCTTTTGTACATGTGTTCTGCCACTGTGAGTCAATTTCTGACTAAAAACTTCTCTGTCATATGATAAAACCTTTGTCTGGGCAAACGTCATGCACGCTGGCCATACGCGTCTCAGCCGTACAGGTTATTTCAAGTCGCGATTGCCGTTCGACTTCCGAATTTCGTTCGGTTTCCGGGGCAAAAAATGTTCGGAAATATCGTTCGAACACCGATTTGTTCGAGTTCTGGTGCGTTCGATCTCCGAGGTTCTACTGTAGAGTGAAATGTCAGACATTTAGACAATTTTGCATGTACAAAACACCTGCTAATGTAATTGACAACCAATTATGGAAGTCCCGTGATGATCCATATTAATTCGGACCATATGTGCCAATTGAAGAGTGCTGGTTTGGTTATTAAATATGTCCCTGGGGATTTGTCATGCACATGTTACACACAAATGCCACCTGTGCATAGGTTTTTCGTTATTTTCCCAATGGTTCTCTATTCCACATAGAATGACGCTTCGTTGAGAAGACCACACATAGGTTGTACTAAAGCACCATTCTGCAAGACACATGACTGTATAGGGGAAAAGCTTAAGTGTGTCACCTAGGCAGGCATTGGAAGTGAATAGGTTACAAAAAGTTTTTCCACACCATTAGAAACAGCTCTTTGTCATTTATCCATCTCGTGTCATCTTCATAATGGAGGGTTGATGTCCAAGACAGATGCTTTCAATATTTCACTATCTTCAGCATCTCTCGTAGAGGATTCTGTCCAAGTATTCACATTCTTCCTTCCTCTTCCCTACCATTTTCCCCTGCAGAATCATCTATGTCATTTCTGCAGTTAACCAACCGAGGGTATGTTCTGTATATGCCACCTTCCTTTTTATTAGGCTTCCCGTTAATTCTTCATAAACACGATTGCCAAAAATGCTGGTAAAGATTTAAGTGAGCTTCACGTTGCTATTATCATAGTAATGTGCCAGGCATGGCTGACACTCATTTACAAGCACAGTGATCTATTATTACACACTGGAATTCACTACACTGCATGTGACTAACAGAGGTACCTGCAAGGTGTCCGTCAAAAGTACAAGTATAGACCCTTTGACAATACTGTATACTGAAGGATAATGGCCTCCTCATGCCATGTGGGCTCTGGGGTAAATTCGCCATACTTCACCACACTTGTCAGTGTGGGTTGGTTGAAAGCAGGAAGCATAGATGTATATAAGTCACGTTATTCGACAGATCAGATGCGTGGTATTTAAATGCTTCATACCATCAAAATTGGGGTCTAAAGTAAATCCTTGCTTCAAGGGCAAACTGCTGTAGACAGAAATTTTAGGTGACATGAATGAACATGATTAACAAATATAAGTTTTTTTGATTGATACGGGCTCTGCAAAGTTTTTTTTAAAAATGGCAGCTCGAGAAACAGACTGCCATCCAATATTAAACTGAATGTGCATACAACTTATTCTGGTGATGATGACCAGTCACTTTTATGAACTACTTCTTGTGATGATGAGCAGACTGTTTACGAGCTGGCTCTTTAATAAATTCACTTGCAGTCAACTGGATGAGATACAAGCATTCGATTCCATGCTTTTTATGTCTTTCATAAACAAGGCTGCATGAATGCATGCTATTACAAAATAATCATGTACAGTTTATTCTGCGGGGAAAGGTCATGGATATGGATGGAAAATGTAACCGAAATATGCCTATCCCTTGTACCAGCATGGCAAGTGGTGGTGGCCACGGAGGTGCTTGCATTGTATTGCTAGGTTACTAAAATAGAATCCACAAATTATGGTTGTAAAGTGGGCACCTGATTGGTGCCTTAAAGTCAAGAGCTATATCCGCCACAGCAAAAATCATTGCAAGTACAGGAAACCCTCTCTATCCGCAAGGCTTACTTTCTTGAAAATGCTTGCGAATACAGAATTAGCAAATGCAGAATCCTTGTTTCAATGGTAAAAATGGGGTTACGTTCCTGGTACGAGTGAACATAGGGGGGAAAAGGTAAATGTTTAATAACAATGACTATAATATATGAATGTCATATTGTAAAGAACAATATGTTTTTTACGCACAATAGAGAGTTCAGAAGGGGATTGCTGCGAGACTGAGGACTAAGTGTTGCAGCCGAGGGGGTGTGCCCAATCTTCACAGACAGTTTCAAATGCAATATTCTGCGCGCACTTCTCTGGTGTCGGTGGTCTGGCACGTACATTCACGAATACTGGAGTCCAACGGGTCACAAATAGGAAATTAGTCTCCAGCTAGTAGCTCGCAAATATGCGAAATTCGCGAATTCTGATCTCGTGCATTGCGACAGTTTACTCTACTGCCAACCTGTGTATACACAGCAGTCGTGGGTCTCCGAGACCAATCCTTGATATTGATGCCAGTTTTGAGGAAATTTTCTCAAGTCTCAAGTTCTTCACCTTGGCCTCGGCGGTATGGCCTCAGTCTGAAAACATGGCATAGAGGCACCCCACCTTGACACTGGCCTCAGCATAGAGGATCCAGCTTTGACTGGCCTTGACATTAGTCTCGACCTAAAAACTCCTGGCCTCGATCTCAACCTTAGCCTTGTGGTTCTCAGCCTAGAATATAAGATTGATGGACAGAAATGCATGGAGTAGTGTAGCATAAGGATATTCTGTAACAAGAGCCCCTAGGGGCAGTGTTAACAAACATTGTAGAAGCTGTGACAGCAGCTTGGTGCCAAAGATAATCACTTTAAATGCACCTGATTTTGTTAAATATTGGAAGCTAAGCAGACTTGGGCCTGGTTTGCACTTTTATGGTTGAGCAACAAAGATTACAAAGTATTGCAGTCATGGGATTGTGATGCGGCCATAGGACAGTACATATTAACCCCTAGGACATGTGGGTTTCATCCAAGTTCTCTGATTTCCTCCTACATGCCAAAACACTCAATAATAGTGCTAACCAAACCCAATGCAGGTCCCTCCAAAAACAGATGCTTAATGCTCAGTAAATCTTTTCTATACAAATCATCGGCATGTGTATAAGTACATTTACACAGGTTCATTTCGTGCCAGTAGGATTAGGTTGCATTAGCACTTTCGATAAGTAACCTTAGATACGGACATGCCCAAGGTCACCTTGGACAACTGCACAAGTCAACTTAACCTTGTGAGAGTAGTTTATACTGCTGACCAATATTAGAGTTAATGACATTTCGACACCTTGCACAAAACGGTAAAGTAGGAACCTACAGCCCACAGGCCAAATAAGACACGTATCCCAATTCCTTATGTGCTGCAAGGATGTTGGCCACATTAAAAACGGGTACTAGAGGGGTATATGTCCAACCTGACACCACCATGTTTCTAATTTTATCATGTTTAATCACCTGTAAAGGTGAGCCCAAATATGTTTGCTCTATTATTGAATAACCCTCAGGTGTGCATTAATGTGTGGTTACCTGCCAACATTTCCTTTTGGCCCTTATAGCAAAGATAAGATTCCCTACCCCTGCAGTAAATTGACCACAGGTCTTCCACCCGTTTGTGTAGCGAAAGTACGAGTCACAAGTGTAAGTATGAATCGGGGTCGGTCGCGTATCAGTGCGTCCGCGTACTCTGAGCCCGCGTACTCTGAGACCTTACTGTTCTTACGAACCGAACCGCAGAACAATTTTGTTCGGTGGAGCGATCCTCCGCGGGATGTAATGAGTCCCAGCATCCCGTGTGATGCACGACGGTGAACCGTTTGACTCGATAAAAACTGATTTTTTAAAATTTTCACGTCACCTTATTTTGTTTTATTCAATATACAATATACCGTATGTACAATTAAAGATCGAGTTCCGAGATACAAACAACGAACGGGTCTCAAGAACGTAACCAGTTCGTAAGTCGAGGACTGCATGTAAACCCCTATTGAATGCAAAACGCAATCGGTTTGTGTACCTCCAAAAGAGGCCAACACTGAGGAAAGCAGGCCTGGTGACACAACTCTGCAATTCCGCAGCCATAATGCTGGCGATGCTGATACACCGAGACCCATGACACAAGAAGAGGAAACTCACCGTTGTTGGGCAGGCTCTGAATAAGCTTAACAGCCGCCTCAAACTGCTTTTGATGGAGAGATCCGCCGTCTGCCATTGGGAACCCTGCCTCGCCTTCTGATTTACACCTGACTTGGGCACACCTGCACACACCTGTCCATAGATGGAGAGAGAGAGAGAGGAACGAGTTGGTTTTATATTGATTTGAGACACTGACGGTCTCGTTTATCCAGTTTCCTGCCTGTTCCGCAAGGGAGATCCCGTGGAGTGCGGGCATAGCCGCAGCAACAAATAGCCGTAAATATTTTAGAGAACAAACGCAGGGTCCTTAAGAAATATCGCACAACGAACAAAACGAGGTGTTTAACGATCTAAGCAAACGCGACGAGAGCAAAAGGCGCCCAAGAAGAGTTAGGTACAAGGTGGCAAGTAAGCGCAATGTGTCCATATTGTTGTCAAACAGTGGCACACGCACACACGCCGATCGAAAAACAACAGGACACAATGTTTAGAACCAAAGAAGAGGACACATAATGTAGGAGCCCAAGAAAGTTAGGTACAGGTGCAAATAAACTCCCGTGTTTTGGCCGAATCGAGAGGCAAAGAAGGGGTTAGTGAAGGGAGGGAAGCGAGCATTATATGGATGAGCATCATCATAATCATCGATTGCATGATAATCATTAGTCGTTGTACAACCGTAGAGGATCTGAATTGGACACAATTGTGATACTGTACGGTGGTATCACAAAGATCAAGTTGACTGCATCATCCATTTGATGGCATTCAAACGCAGTTATCCGTACGCTTAACATCGGTAACTTTAAAGGGGAACAAGTAGCTCTGATGATGATGATGTCAAAGAGGATGAGGGCATTCATACAACAGTGCTTAGACAATGCGTCCAATAACAGGACGAAGAGGCCTTTGTTATCTACTGTATGATGAACTTCGTTCGCACCGTACCTAGCCAACCGTGCTAATCGGAGGTGATTATGGGGATGCATTCATCCATTCGTTGATAACTGTGGATTCACGATACTGGATATAGAATTCATCAAAGTGGATTTGCAATAAACACGACGGCCAGGCAATGGATTAGGCTAAGGCTATTATAACAACAGGGGGGAGCCTTGCTCCAGAAGTGAATGAACAATCGATAATGGAGACGCATTCATTCAGCAGTGGATAAAGACCGCATGCCTGTCAACCCCCTTATCAGTGCCTACATTATTACGGAACAATTCAGACCGTATCGTTCATCCTGCAAAGTCCCATCAACAAGGGAGAAAACGCGAAAAGACAGACAGACACTCTAAAAAACACATGATCCTGTTGCCCAGTATCGAATCGGCTGTACGCCGTACGGACCTGAAAGACTCAATTTCCCTGTACAAGAAGAACACGGGGTGTATAAACCGTGTAGGTTTAACAACACCACAAACACCATTCACTTGCACGGCAGCAGCAGCAGTAGTAGTAACCTTGTCACGGGCATCGCACCTTGCACGTCTGGCACTCTCACCAATGCGTCTGGCCCACGGCCCCCCCGCTTGTCGCTCGCTATTATTTGTGGCACCAGTACAGTACCGGCTCTTGACGAGGACGCTGATGATGCTGATGATGATGATGTCGCCGTCGCCACAGCAGTCGCAGACTGCCACTGCGCGCCCGCACTTTGCTGCGGCGTTGAGATGTCACCGACAGCCCTTCAAGCTCTGCTTCAAACAACACTCGTCTTCCCCTCTCGTCTCACACACACACACTCCCCAACCCCGTAACCAACCCAGAGAGACTCTCTCTCTCTTTCTCTGTCACTAAAGTCCCCGCCTTCACCTTTGGCAGACTTGCTCAGTGCTGCCCTCCATCGTTTGGGGTTGGAGAAGACGACAGCGCTTCTTCATCCACTGTTCCACCACCCCTGACCCCGGTTGGCTGCCGAGGTTCTGGTGGCTTTGCAGTGGAAAGAGCTGATGGTTTGGTCCCGGGATTTAAGTGGGAAGATATTGTTTGGGGGGGGTGGTGGAGGGAACTCATAAATGATTCCAACTAATCCCAACTAGATCTGAGGAGGAGCTTTGCTCCGCCTGCGCGTGTCCATGCGAGTCTATGTGCTTGTCCGTGGATCTAGGAGTCTTATCTGTAAGTAAAACAAATGAATCCTCGATTCCTTTCTGAACGCAGTCGAGTTCAAATTGTCATTCCCACCACGGTCTTCCGGAGCATTCCGGCCCATTTCCACCACTGAATTTCGTATGGCCACTGATGAGCGACTATTGCGTTCTTGCGTATTGGAATATATGCCGCAGATGAATGCCAGTGTTGGAGGTCTGCTAGCCACGAGAAAGTGCCTCTTCCTTTGAAAGAGCCGCATACTACAGTGGTTTACTATATGGTCCATCGTTTGGGTTGCATGGTGACAATCTCACCGTGGCTTGTCTTTAACTTTCAATTCTAAACTAGTTTTTCTACATTTTACCAGGTAAGGCCCACTGAGCTATCTATATAGCTCTTTTTTCAGAATCGACCTGGCCACAAATGATAGCTCTGCTGAGTGACTTATCACGTGGAAATGTATAGCAGCCAAATACTATACACACATGTTTCTAAGTGTGGAGAGGAAAACCGGAGGACCCGGAGAAAAATCCACGCGACCACAGGGAGAACACGCAAACTCCAAATATATAGGTGTCGGGGTCAGTACATGTGCGATAGTTAACATCTCACTACCGTGGCGAGATGCGTACATCGGCCTGTTAATGTTCTGGTGCTGTTGATGGTCCCACCGGTGTCTTTCAGGAGGAATGTCAAATACAGGAGTTGCGATTATGTTTGGTTCTTGAATGAGACGTTAATTCTGGACGTCTGCGTTGTTCCACTCTGTTCGCAAGTATTCTTCTGGAACTATGCGAGATTCTCGGATGGTGACAGGGCGATCCCATAAGGGATGGAATAGGGACTTGAGTTTGGCGGTAGGTTATCGTTGCCAAGAAAACGTATACAGTACTTTCACAAAAATATGATAGATTCGGTGGAATAATTGTGGCATTGAGAGGGAAGAGATCATTCATTTGGCGGGCATTTTATGTGTGCGTGGATTATATAATTATCAATCTATTGCAATTACTAATCTACTCTATGGTAGTTATATCAATTACCACACGATCGAAAGGGTTCAAGTATCACTAAATTTGAAATATCGACAATTTATTGTATACTGTACGTAGCGATGTTCATCGCCCCCTACTGCGAAACCTTGGCAGAACCCTCTTGAAAAAGTCACGAAGCTCAGGCCATCCTGGATAAACAAATGGAATAATATGTAGCACATATTGTCCGTGAAAATGTAATCTTTATGTTAGTTAAACGAGCATGTTAGCACATAGAAGACAACCCAAACAAGGCAGCATAAACGAATTAAGATCATGAACCCGAAAATTTTCAATTAACCAAATCGCTAAAAGGCAAATAACCGATTTAAAGCTTTCGTGACTGCAAGGATTCATCTTCTTTGGTTCTTTCGGTAAAGTCACGTAGAATGAGAATAAAATAATAAAATAAAATAATACACTTTGTGAGAATTTTATTGTCTTATTTTATTATTTTATTCTCATTCTACGTGACTTTACCGAAAGAACCAAAGAAGAGGCAAATAACCGTCACGTCCAAAGTATATGGATACACTTAGGTAATTATTTCACCACTACAAAGTGAATTTAGACAAGATATCCATAAATGTTTGGAATGACTATTGGCATTAAGACCAATGTTTACCCGCAGCATTTGTTCAAATCGGGAAACGATTTTACCGATTTCCACTGAGTCTCATCAGCAGACACAAGCCACGGTTACTTTTTTGTTTTACGATGATAATTTTAACACTGATTGCAGATTTTTTTCTGTTTGGCTTCACAAAACACTGTGAAGCGACGCGTTTGGTTGTTTGGACGGATTAATATTTAAACTCGGTGGAATTTCAATGACGGGGCTGTTCTATGCCGACCTCGCTCGCATGGATTTCAAATCCTGGCTACAAAATCACGAACCACCCCCTTGTTGATTTAAAGCTTTCGTGACTGCAGGGATTCATATTCTTGGTTCTTTACAATTCTCACGACGTTTCGACTGCAACACAAGCAATCGTCACCTGATGATGATTGCTTGTGTTGCAGTCGAAACGTCGTGAGAATTTTATTGTTTTATATTTTTATAATTTTATTGTTTCCCTTCTACGTGACTTTACCGAAAGAACCAAGAATATGCACCCCCTTGTTATTAACGCCGTCGCCCTACCCTGTAAGCCGGGATATAATGCAAGCGGCACTGTATTGTATTCAGCTGCCGTACCGGGCAGACGGGTAATGTCTGATTTTCCAGAGAAAGGCAATAAAAAGGGGAGATGGATGGAAATCGGCGAACGCGTGCGAAATAAAGGACCCGTGCGGTTTGTCGAGTTAAAGGGGCGGCGCAAAGTGCAGGGAGGGGGTTTCTAAGTCTCAGCTTTCAGTTTCATTTATTTGGTATAGCCCTGTGAGCCATTCGTCTCTTGAATCGGGTGCAACCGCAACAAACAAAAACATGAACAAGAAAACATCTTAAAGTGACGTGACTGTGCAAACAGAAAATACAGGAAAAAACAGCAAAATATTCCTGAAAAAGCACCATACACCAACGCTGTGTGCAAAAATCCCAGTGGGATGCAAGTCAAACAACAACAACAAGACAACTTAGATTAATGCCATCAGTCAAACTCCGTACTACAACAAACATGGCCAAACCAAAAACACGTTTTCGAAATCACCAAAATAAAGCCATAAAAGCAATGTAACAGTGATCATAGGAACTGTGATCGAATATTCACAATAAACGACATAAACAACATGTAACACCAAACCCTGTAGCCATAGCTGGCTGCATGAGTCACTCCACAACAGCAGGAGCATCAGTCTCAAAACAACACACGAAAACGTGCAAGTAAATGCATCAGCAGCCACATTAATACATTGTGGTCCCTTTGTTTTAGGTCACTATCAAAATAAATGCGAGCAATTATTACCGTCTGACAGGCGGCAGTGATACACTAAACGATTTTTTTTTTACCAGGTAAGGCCCAATGAGCCATACAGCTCTTTTTCAGAAGAGGCCTGGCCACAAATGATAGCGTAACGAAGTGGCTTATCACGTGGACATTTCTAGCAGCCAAATACTCTAAATGGAGGTTTCTAAATGTGGAGGGAAAAACCGGAGGACCCGGTAAAAAATCCACGTGAGTGACACCGCAAACTCCAAATATACAGCAGGCGTCCTGTATACAAGGCGAAGGAGATTTCGCCACCACTTATTGAAGGGTAGGGAACAATTACTCCGATGGTCGAATGGAATTGTCTAATATTTTTGGTATTAGCCACGTGAATACACGCCTCAGTCGCTGAAAGACATCCTGGCAGCGACAGAATTGACTGAGAAATAACGTATTGTTCCCAAGATTAAATAAAATATGCCGCGGCAGTAGAAAGTGCGGCTAAGATGCTTAGTCGTGATGGATAAATATCGTTGACTGGCCATCTCAAAGTGGTGAGGCCTCACTGTGAAATCAAGTCGCAGGTTGGGAATTGCCCCGGGTCGTTGCTATACCCCCCCCCTTCTACCCGATTGAGTTGGATTCATCCAAAACGGACGATCTCCTCACAACCCCCTCTCCCCCCAATCCAAACCCAACTTGGTATCGCCCTTCTAGTCCCGCCCACTCACACACTGCCCCGCTCCCCCCGCAATCATCTAACGTCGCGCGCTCGTCGTCGTCTCTGTGCGTGCGTGGGAGCTGTGAGCACAGGCTCATTCCGCGCTCTCCTCTCGCTTCCCCCCTCGCGTTAGCGCTCTCCTCTCGCTCTTCCCCTCTCCCCTTTGCTCTTTCGTTTCGCTGTGCCGTCACACTTACTCCATTTTTTTCCTTATCTTGTTTTCCCCTCACGTTTGTTCTCCCCGCACGCCCTCCTCTCGCTTTCTCTCGCTCCCCTCACGCGCTATTTTCTCACGGTTTTCCCCCTCACTCGAGCCCGGCCCGTTAACCTCGCCCACACCCAAAACCGCGCCCCCTTTAACTTTCTCCGCCCCTTAACCTCCCCATCCACCACCCCCGCGATCCCCGTTAACTCTCCCCGCACACGCCTCGCCCCCCCCCCCGTATAGCCCCGCCCACCTGTATAGCCCCGCCCACCTGTATAGCCCCGCCCTCGCCTACACACCGCGGCTCACGTTGCCGCGGTTCCGTTAACTCTCCCCGCAGAGATCGCCCCGCCCTCTCTACCCCCCCTCATCACTGCCTCGGCTATCTCAACCATAGCCCCCCCCCAACTCAGTCTCAGCTCCCTCAACCATAGCCCCCCCATTTGTATCACACCCCCCTCAGCCTCAGCTCACTCAACCATAGCCCCCCCCCCCCTTTGTATCACCCCCCTCAGCCTCAGCTCACTCAACCATCACCCCCCCTCAGCTCACTCAACCACAGCCCCTCCCTTTGTATCACCCCCCTCAGCCTCAGCTCACTTAACCATAGCCCCCCCTTTATATCAC